GTCACAAACCGTTAATAAATAGCAAAACACGTTTATAGAGAATTACCCACTGGGGTTTGCCCATATCTTCTTATAGGTCAACACTAAAATTAATTTTTTAAATAGAACTCATCTTTTAATTTAAAATTAATACGATTTAAATTTTTCGTAAAAGTAAAAGTAGGAACATAAATTAGAAAATATAACAGCAAATTTTTTTAAAGAATTAATTCAATTTATTTATTAATTTCTTCTTCTGTATATAAATTAATTAGAATTTTAATAATGTTAACTCCATTATTATTATTATTATTTTATTTCACTTTCCTACGAACTTATTTAAACTTTATTACCAATAATTAAAGATAGATTTTACGAGTAATATTAGTTTAAAATCGTATCTAAGAATTTTATATTGATCTCAAAGCAATTAAAGAACTTAATGTTTATTAGTATTGGAAAACATTATAGAAATAATGAGCAGAAAGGAACCAACTCTTATGATCATCCATAAAACATTTAGTTGCTTTTATATTGTTAATGTTGTACTGTACACGCTGTACATGTTTTGAATTATTACATTATTAAATGTTCATTAACTTTATATTAATATATTTTTATTGTTGATACAGATATAGATACTGAAGGGGAGTAGAAGGCTGTACTCAAAGGTGTAGCCTTAAATAATAGTAAAAGAAAGTAAGAAAGAGAGTACAGATACAGAAAAAAATAAGTAATTTTCTTCTATGGAGTATAAGAAATATTGATAAGGTCTCTGCTTATAGGAGGACTATATAGCATTAAATTAATCTTAAATTAAAACGTGCATTTTGCTTAAATTGCTCTTTATATCATATTAATTGCATCCATTATGAAGAAAATTTTGCACAAGAAACATTCTACGTAATGATAATCGAAAAATATAGATTATAAGTAAGATATTATAGATTTGCTCCGAGGAAGATTTGTAGAATTTTAATTACAAATTTATGTTGTTATATTCCATTTAATAGTTTATATAACTTATATTTATATGCAATAAATTAATCTTGAAATTTTCTATCATGTCTCTTAATACGGATCATTAAAATTTTTCTAATTTTCTTCATTGCTCATTACGCATTGCTCGAAGACTAAGGGTGTTTTCTTCTGCCATTGGCATTAATTTAAGTTAGGAAAATAGAGTCTAATTTAGTAATGATATAAATATAAGTTAAAGGTAAACTCTAACCATATCTGGACTTGAGAAAAATTTGAATTTATAAGGCCCGTTTCTCATAATATGTATATAGACCATATTATGTTAACATGGTTTATAACGGAGAGAATTATTCTTAGAATAAAAGCAAGGATAAAATAAATAATTAAGGTTAATTATTAAAATATTTCAGGATAAAGAAGTTGAAGTTAAGACGATAAAACATAACTTATGTAGACTACTTTATTGCTTATATGCAGAATACTGAGAATTTAAAAATTCTTTACAGAGATTTTAAAAGATTTTAAAATTAATATTGTAATTTTTTTTTGAAATTTTCGAAAGAAAAATGATGAAAAATGATATTCTTCCCGTTTATTTAATGCGTAATTTCAAGTTTATTAAATTTCTTAAGTGTAAAAATATTACTTTTTAAATAAAATCAAATACAATTTCAACTTTAATTTATGATTTTAATTATAAATTAGATACAAAATAATAATCATAATCATAATTTAAATGTATTATTTGGTACAGGTTACAATAGAAAATTCAGACTAGCCATAAAGAACGTTTATTGTATATTGTAATTTGATTTTGTATATTCATAATAATTATATTCTATGATTTTATTTAGTTAAATATTAATATTTATGTAATTCTTGTGTTAATTACCTGTATAAGTTAAACGAAAGCATAGTTTAACCTATATTTTAACTGATAGATATACTACATTCTAATAGAAGTAGGATCGCCCAAAAATCAGTTAGCCATACTTTTACTTTATATAACAGAGGGAAAGCATGGCGATCGGTCAAAAAAATGACCCTCCAAGATTTACATTTATGAGCTTAGGACATCTTGAAACGTCGAGTAATGCAAAAAAAAATTCAGGTTTTTTTTTTGTATATATGGATGTTAATGTGTAAGGGAACACGATTTTGTTCTTTCCTATTTGAAGCTTAATAACTCCTGTACTTTTTATCGAAAATTTCTGAAATTTTTCATGGAGACTTGTTTATTAGGAGGATTGATGCCATTAAATTTTGGTGGTTAATTAAAGGTCGAGGGGTGGGGAGATAAAGAGGTTCGTGTGTTATATCTCTAGTAGGGTCGAACTTAATAACGATTTTACTCATTATTAGCATTTACAATTATTTATAAAACCCATATCTATCCCAAAAATTAAGCTTTTTGACATTTTATAATAGTTAAAAATATAAAAAGTGTTTTTATAAAATATAATAACAGTTGGCGTCATTAAATGTTTCCGGGAAAGTTAAGCAACTGTTGCTGAGTTTTTTTACTAGTAATTCAGCAGTTTATGAGTGTAATGAGCGCTATTATGCGATGAGTAGTGTGTGATATGTATTGTACAGTAGTGTACAACGCATACTATACATCGCTATTTATACTACTAGCACTACTGTGCATGTAGTACAGTACAGTACACTTCTATTACATATAGTGAATAGTTGTATGAGTGTGATGAGTGGCATTATTATTTATGTATTGGATAAGAAAAATTTCATTTTGACAATTTTTTATTTTGTAAGAAAATAAAATATTTGAACAAAACAACAATTTATTCTTTGAAACAGTTTACTGACTTTTGGTCTATGTTGTACAGTACGTCTTGTTCGTAAAGGGCATAGGAATTTCTATTTGTATGGCCTTACGAACAAGTTTTATGTTTATACGAGTAAATTTATAGGAAAATAGTTTTAGGAATTTATTATAATTAAGTTCTGAAGATGTTTTTACGATTAAGTTGAATTTGTTAAGAACTTTAAAGTCTTGTTTGTGATAAATAGACAAGTTTTTCCAATAAATATTTAGTATTTTATATAATTTTTATCTTTAATTTTTTTTTAATATAAAAAGTTTATAAATCAGTACTAAATATATCCTTATTATAAAAATCCAATTAATCAACTCCTTAAATAGAACAAGTTTTTATTATCAGGACAATGATCTAAGATTCCGATGACAATAATTCGAAAAATAATTGTTTGAACAAGTTAAATCTTTACATAAAATGTATTTGCAAGTAAACAATGGATCAATTTTCTTTTCTTTTTTTACTTTATCTTCAAAAATTAAATTAAAAAAATAAAATCTTTTAAGAAATTATCTAGGCTAAACAAACATAAACATATATATATATATACTG